TTTATGTAGAAACTTTGATATTGGGAACCCAGCATACAATAATCTTAACCACACTATCAACCAAATTCTACATTCCATTAGTGCTTCCTTCACATTTTATGGTGTCTTGAACATCAAAATGTTAGAATTCCACACAAACTTGCTCTCTATCTCTAAATCTGCCTCTTTCTGTCCATATATATTTCAACTATCTCTGCTTGAGAAACATACCACATACATTTTCTCAAGCAGAGAAAACTAATGCTTGCTCTGTGCTAGTCAATCAGATAATGAGTTGTGACCCTTGTAGTGATAAATGTATTGCACACTGATTACATCACAGTGAGATGTTTCCAAAAATATGAAGGCTGTACCACCACCATCAAGACCAGTTTACAGATCAGTTCCCCTATGACTTCAAAGTTGGCATCACTTACAGCCTCCCACTGCAGCTCCAGTAGATACTGTCAAAGTAAAGGCAGTTGTGTGCTCATTGAGCAATACTGCAATCATAGTTAAGGCCTAGGCTTGCCTGGACCACAAGTTTGTTATGCCAAGTATGCCTTTGTTCACTATGTCTAAAGATAAGAAGAGGGAGGAGCAAGGAGTATTCTGAAACATGGATATCCTAGAGAAAGATTATGAGGTGTGGATTCAAGAGGATGGGGTAAAAAAAATGGAAAAATATCAGCTGTCCACTCCCTTCAGCTTGTCACATCTACCGCCTTCAACTTAAATCACCAATTATGCATTAGATTATCTCTATTCTCAAATGTGACCATGCCTATAAAACAATTCATGTATATCTATTTGTTTTTTTATTTTTTTCTAAAAATAAAGGATTTAACAAAGAGAACAATATAGATATATCAGATATGGGAGGAGAAAGAGAGAGACAGAGTTAGTGACAAAGAGACAGATAAGTTTAAGGAGCAAAGGAAGTCATTCCTGATCTTGGATTAAAGTAAATGTTGTACCTACAAGTTCCAAAGTAACCTGGCTCATGTCTCCTCTAGCTTTACCTTGAACACTCTCTCCCTCTTACTGAGTAGTCTAGCCACATTAGCCTAGAGGGGTTCAAATGCAAAATAGATACACAAGTGTTATAATTATAGACTTTGAAATTATATACTTTGGTATTCAAAAAGCTCACAGAAAATACATATTATGAAAATGCCATATTGAATTTTTATTAAGTTTATTATTTGTAGCTTTAAAATTTAATAATGTTTAATGTTTTTGCTATATTCATATGTAGACATTATATAACCATACATATTTTTTTCTTGAAAACAGAATAATGGAGCTGGAAAATTCCTATTGCCTGGTGATGTGGTAACCATGGTAATGTCACACCTGAAAGCATTCCTCACCTGTTTGTGGTGGTGCTGGTATAAACAAACCAACTGCACTACCAGTTGTATGAAAGCGCACCAGCACAACTCTGTGCACCTCGTGATACTTGATGCTGGTAATAAATGACTATATTACTGGTGTGTGTATTTACTAGACTAAACTTTTGATCATTGTTTTAGAGTGTTCTCCTTCTATATATAGTAAAAAGCTTACTGTAAAAACAGTACGCTAGCATATGCTGGCAGCAGCCACGGAGATCTCATGTTTACACTGCCATCTTGACTGCTTCCAGAGGTCATGTCCAGTGATTGGCCTACACTGTCTAGTTTTGGGTAAATACATTCTACAATGTTTGCACAATGATGAAATTGCCTAATGAATTTCTCAGAATATATCCTAATCATCAAGCAATGCATGACTATATTTGCACTTCTACTTTTTTTTTTTTTTTTTTTTTTTTTTTTTGGCCAGGCAGAGTTAGACAGTGAGAAAGAGAGAGTTATAGACAGTAGACAGTGAGGGACAGAAAAAAAGGTCTTCCTTCCATTGGTTCACTCCCCTAATGGCCGCTACAGCCGGCGCTGTGCCAATCCGAAGCCAGGAGCTTCCTCCCAATCTCCCATGCAGGTGCAGGGCCCAAACACTCAGGCCATCCTCTGCTGCCCTCCCGGGCCATAGCAGAAAGCTGGACTGGAAGAGGGGCAACCAGGACAGAATCCGGCGCCCCAACTGGGACTAGAACCTGGGGTGCCGGTGCTGCAGGCGGAGGATTAGCCTAGTGAGCCTCGGCGCGGCCTACACTTTTACTTTTTTTTTTTTTTTTTTTTTAAAAAAAAGGACTTTTTAAATCAACTTTAATGGCCGGTGCCACGGCCCACTAGGCTAATCCTCTGCCTGTGGCGCTGGCACCCCGGGTTCTAGTCTTGGCCAGGGCGCCGGATTCTGTCCCCGTTGCCCCTCTTCCAGTCTGACTCTCTGCTATGGCCCAGGAAGGCAGTGGAGGATGGCCCAAGTGCTTGGGCCCTGCACCTGCATGGGAGACCAGGAGAAGCACCTGGCTCCTGGCTTCATATCAGCGCGGTGCGCGCTGGCTGCAGCAGCCATTGGAGGGTGAACCAACGGAAAAGGAAGACCTTTCTCCCTGTCTCTCTCTCTCTCTGTCCACTTTGCCTGTCAAGAAATTAAAAATAAATAAATACACTGTCTACTCTGCCTGTCAAAAAAAAATAATGATAATAAAAAAATAAATAAATAAATAAATCAACATTAAAGTCATAAATTACCAGTATACAAAAAATCAGAAAACAGAGATATTAATATCACAAAGTGAAGGATTCGTGATAATAATCATAACATGGAGAAGGAAGGGTATATTGTCATGTACCTGATATGATTCAGTGTGGATATTAAAAATTTTTTGCTCCAAAATAAACTTATTATTTAATTCCATTTTCTTTTTTTGAAGTGAACTAGTAGTTACAAGTGACTTGAAAAAATAAATAAAAGAAGCCAGGGAATTAAAGTAGTAAGAAGCCAGAGAAAGATTCCCTAAAGAGACAATATCTGAGCAGCAGCCTGCATACAGTAAAGGAACAAAGCACCCTTAAGTATAGCAGACAAACATCCTAGCACAAGCATAGAAAGTATAAAATTACTGAGGATGTGTAGCATTCTGTGTTCCAGTCCATACTGATTACTCCCTGCCTTAAATATACAAAACTCTGGGACCTACGCTGTGGCACAGCAGGTTAAAGCCCCAGCCTGAGGCGCCAGCATCACATATGGGCACCAGTTCTAGTCCTGGCTGCTCCTCTTCCGATCCAGCTCTCTGCTATGGCCTGGGAAAGCAGTAGAAGATGGCCCAAGTCCTTGGGCCCCTGCACCCATGTGGGAAACCCAGAAGAAGCTCCTGGCTCCTGGCTTCACATTGGCGCAGCTCTGGCCATTGCGGCCATCTGGGGAGTGAACCAGCAAATGGAAGACCTCTCTCTCTGTCTCTACCTCTCTCTGTAACTCCATCTTTCAAATAAATAAAATAAAATTTTAAATAAAATATATATACAAACCTCTCTGTTGCACATACAACAAACACTGTGTTCCTGAAACAGTGAAAGAAAAAATGAGATCCAAATAAAATATATAGTTAGTTAATAGTTCTATAGCAATGTCAATTTCTTAGTTTTAACAAATTTAGGATGATTATGTAAGATGTTATCACTAGGGGAGTCTGGGTAAAGGATATACAGAAATTATCTTTACTATCTTTGCAAAGCTTCTATAAATCTAAAATTATTCCAAATTAAATATTTTTAATAAAATTATGGTGCTTTGCCTGTAGAATGTAACTGTGTTTATGCATATGGGTACACATACAGCACAGGGACAAAGAATTAAAAGAAAGAAATGGTCCCAATAAAAGTGGAGAGAGGAAGAAAATAAATCATATAACCGTATTTTTTAATGCAACAGAGAAGAGAGCATTATGAAGTTAGAAAAGTTTTCCTGAGAGACCCAGACAAAGTCAGATGTGTACTTCAGAAAAACCTTTCTTTCAAGAAAATGCTCTGGGGCCGATATGTGGCATAGTGGGTAAAGCAGCTGCCTGTGATGCCAGTATCCCAAATTGGCACCCGGCTGCTCCATTGCTCCACTTCCAATCCAGCTCCCTGCTAATGCAACTGGAAAAACACTGGAGGATGGCCCAAGTGCTCGGGCCCCTGAACCCAGGCAGAAGATCTGGAGCTCCTGGCCAGCTCCAGCTATCTGTTGTGGTCATCTGGGGAGTGAATTAGTGTACAGAAGAACTCTCTCTCTCTCTCTCTCTCTCTGTTTCAAATAAGTAAATCTTAAAAAAAAATTAAGAAAATGCTGTGAAGTACCAGAAAGCATCCCCCCCCCAACTTTAAGTAACAGCTGACTTTTCATTCAGCGAAATCCTTTCTCTCAAACCATTTATTGCCTCCAAACCTTACTGTTTGAAATTCTATCAAATCTGAAATATTTCAATCTTGGCTAGAAGATCTAAGTCACTTTGACACAGAGAAACAAACTCTATATTTCCAGCTAAGGAGCAGAAGAACAGAAGTGCAGTTTATGGAGACATTTCACATCTATTTTAACTTTGTAGTTGCCAAGAAAACAAAATACTGAGCCCAAGCATAAGTTCAGTTCTAACATAGACTCCTTTATAAATATCTTTGCTTTGTTTTAAACCTACCAAAATATTCTTTCACTTTAATTTCTCCTATTCGCCACATTTCCCCCAAATTCCAATAACAAATCTCTTTTCCTTTGCAGAGTAAGTTATCCCATGGTTCTGTAGAATGTGAACTCTCTCCCTTGCAATGAGTCAGGAAGTTTGACTTTTTGAAACACAATTTTGCTCTGGATGGACTTACATATATTGAGAAGGAAGGAAGGGAGGGAGGAAGGGAGGGAGGGAAAGAAAGAGAAAGAAAGAGAGAGAGAAAGAGATAGGGAGGGAAGGAGGGAGGAAGGGGGGAGGGAGGGAGGAAGAAACTCATACCATACATCATCAAGCCTAAAATATAACCTCAAATTTAAGAGGCATTCTTATTTTCTGTGTTGATAAAAACGAAAAACTACAGTTCGTGCTTAGGGGACTTTAAAAGATAGGGAAAAAAACAATACATTCATTAGCTCACAGTTCTGCTGGTCAGAATTCAAGGCATAGCATAGGTGCTCAGGATCTCATAAGGTTAAAATCAAGGCACCAGCTGACTGTTCTAATGCAGAGTCCCACAGTGTTCTTCCAAGCCATCATGTTGTTGACAACCAAACACAAACCAGGAGGTGATAAATGCTAAAAAGAAAATAAAACAAGGTTACACTTGCTTTTCCCTCTAACATTGTCTTACTCTAGCTTCCCATTTTCTCCCATAATTAGGTTTTAACTCAAATGTCACTTTCACAAAGACATAATACTTGCCAACACAAAATTATCTCCTTTTTCTGTCCCAAGTCTTTGTAAAATCTCCTTATCCTCTTATTTTTCACCATATTTACCACTTTCTGAAATTATTTCCATTTCTTTTCTATTTTTGGCTTCTGAAATTGATTAAATCATGGCTTCCTATCTTTGATCGTTATTCAATCATTGGCCACTAATATTTAATAGGCATTCAAGAACTATTTAGTAAAGAAAGAAATGGGAGAAGGGGCTGGCACCGCGGCTCAATAGGTTAATCCTCCACCTTGCGGCGCCAGCACACCGGGTTCTAGTCCCAGTCGGGGAGCCAGATTCTGTCCCGGTTGCCCCTCTTCCAGGCCAGCTCTTGCTGTGGCCCGGGAAGGCAGTGGAGGATGGCCCAAGTACTTGGGCCCTGCACCCCATGGGAGATCAGGAGAAGCACCTGGCTCCTGCCTTCAGATCAGCGCGGTGCACCGGCTGCAGCGCACCAGCCACGGCGGCCATTGGAGGGTGAACCAACAGCCAAAGGAAGACCTTTCTCTCTGTCTCTCTCTCTCACTGTCCACTCTGCCTGTCAAAAAAAAAAAAAAAAAAGAAAAGAAATGGGAGAAGGAAATTGGAGAGAAACAAAGACATTGACAGTGTCGAGGGGGCAGTCTAGCCAAAGGTACCTACATTTGTTAACTTTAGAATAAACAGGATAAGCCTCACGATGGAGCAGAATCTTGAAAGAATAACCCTAAACCAAGTTCATTTAACTGTTAGAGAGAAAATGTCCACAACTGTATTGAGACACCTGTCCCACAGGTGAGCAACACCAAGCTTCCAAGTATTTGTAAAGAAGCAACTTTGAAATGGAGAGCTAAAAAGTTTTTAAAAAAATTTTAAAAATAGTTTTGCTTGGACCCTCACCTCACGAGGGAGGGGAAGAACTTTTAATTAAGAATATCATACATTGGGGCCAGTGCCGTGGCTCACTTGGTTAATCTACCGGCTGCAGCGCTGGCATTCCATATGGGCGCCGGTTCTATTCCCGGTGGCTCCTCTTCCAGTCCAGCGCTCTGCTGTGGCCCAGGAGTGCAGTGGAGGATGGCCCAAGGGCTTGGGCCCTGCACCTGCATGGGAGACCAGGAAGAAGCACCTGGCTCCTAGCTTTGGATCGGCACAGCGCTGGTCATGGCGGCCATTTGGGGTGTGAACCAGTGTAAGGAAGACCTTTCTGTCTGTCTCTCACTGTCTGTAACTCTACCTGTGAAATAAAAAAACAAGAATATCATACATTACAAAAAAATTATAATACCTAAAGTCAAAGTACACGCCAATTTTTAAAATTCTGCAGATGTTTCTTCAAATATAGTTATTTAGAAAGACAAATTTTAATTTTTCTCCAACTAATTGTTTTTTCAAGACGAGTTACACAAGATCAGTTGAACCCGAATCAGAGAGGTCCTTAGACATCGTTCTTATAATCTAACAGTGACTGGCTGTAGGGCCCTGGCCACGTCACTCACACCACCGGAAGTCCCTTTCCCTCACCTGCAAGAAGGGAACGGACTTTATAGGTAGAAAACTCACAAGATTCTATTAAATCCGTGACAGCCTCTCATACGAGATAAACGGCCAAAGTTATTAAAGCTGCAATGTCTTTTAGACCCCAGAACGGAAATCTGGAGCTAACTACCCCTACCCTTCGGTTTTCATACAACAAAAGGAGGTTCCTCAGCCTGCCATGAGACTCTTAGAGATCTGCAAAGTAATTTCATCATCTCGCAGGCCAGCAGAATCCTGCACGCTTGGCTGCGGCCCCAAACTCGACGCCTAACTTTAGAGTTTTGGTTCCACGCACTTCTGTCAGGTCCGGGTCGCAAAGCCAACAGACTGTTGGGACACCTGGAGCACACCCCGCCCCGCGGCCACACCCAAACCGGAAGCCGGGATGCCCCGGAGGTTGACGGGAAACCGCTGCCGGGCTCCGCGCTCCCCCAGGCCCGCCCTCTCCGGTGACGTCATCGTCCGCCCCTTGACCCCCGCCGCCCCGCCCCCTTCCCTGCCTCCCCGTAGCCGGCGGCGGCGCGGCGTCTGAGGCAGCGATGGAGGGGTCCGAGTCGGTCGCAGCGCCGCGGGAGGAAGCAGCATCCTGTTCTTCCTGGGGGTCCGGCAGGTGAGAGGACATTGTGGCTACGAAGAAGCAGAGTCACAGGCAGGACCCGGGCTCTGGCTCTCCACGTCTTTCCCCTGGGGCGGACCGGGAGCGCGTGAAAGGCCGCGGGGCCCAGCAGAGCCGGCCCGGGAGGCTGGAGGGGCGCGAGGGGTGGGTGTGGCGGTGGGATGCTCCGGCCGCTGCTCCCGGCTTCCAGAGCGGGTCCACTTCCCGCCGCTTTCGGGGCACTCTTAGTTCCGGTTGGAGTCTGGCATCCTCCCTTCCTGGGGACCTCCGGTCGAGAGAGAAAGAGAGAGTTGTGGCTTCGATCCCTTGGTTTGAGCTGCTCCGCCTGGTGCCAGAGAAACCGTTCTTCGGGAAATTGAGACCTGTGGGCGCCCCCGTGCTCCATCTGCACGGGGATCCTCCTTCGAAAACTATTGCCGGGGGAACACCAGGATGAATCGGTGGCAGTCTGGCCATGCTGAGGCCTCTATTGACCAGAGCCCTCCCCCCACAAAGAAAAAAAAAAAAGGAAAAAATATGTGCCCATTCCTATTTCCTACTTTGCCCTAAGGTTCTCTTTTATGTCTTTCCCGCCCCTTTAAAATTAGGGGTGAAATGTTTGTGATAGGCCCTTTACCAGTCCTTCTTCCAGTCTTATTATAATTAATAAGGCGGGTAGTTAGGAGTGTGTCAGGTCCAACTAGCAGAATACAGTATGCCAAAGATAGAAGTGAAAGATAAATTGTTTTCAGTGGATGTGAGACTGCCTCTAAACCTGTAGCTGTTCCGCCAGTTTCAGACTGAAGGGATTGTCTGCGGTTGCCAACACTGCCAGATTTACTTGGGAGAGATTATGTAATGCAAAAAAAGCCTCATTGCTCTTACTTGAGACAATTTTGATTGTCTTCTAGGTTTTTTTTTTTTTTAATATTCTTGGAATATTTGGTGAGACAGAACTTTATGAAGAGTAAATGCCAGTCGTGATTTAGTGAAGGAGAGCAGGTTGTCCTTAACAGCTTTATCCAAACTGTTGTTTCCCCCAACCACCCCGTTCATGTTTTGTTTCAGTGGCCAAACGTGTGTGTGTGTGTGCGCGCGCGCGTGTTTATTTAGGGCAGAAGTCGTTTTATTAGATGATCTCTTAGAATTCAGCTATCTTTGAGCTTACTTTCAGCAGCAATCAAGAGTTTCTGCAATAGTTGTCAGTTTAATTAGCCAGAAATTGATATTTGGTGATAACAGTCAGTGTTTGGTAAGATAAATGAGACCATTTTAATCACATGTGTCTATAAACTTTTAAACTTACTTATCAATTCCAGGCTTATAGAATTGGATTCCAAACTGAATTTCATTCTGTTTTTAGAGTCCTGTAACAGACAACTACAGCTTCCCACAATCTGGAATTGGTTGCACTTTTGCCAAGATGATACTCAACTCTTACAGGGGCTCAGGCCCAAGTGCCACAGGCTGAACCCCCCTGCCTCTGGCCATTATTGCCTACAAATCTTGTTTTTCTTGTATGCTATCCTGTGAAAAAATTGAGACACACTGCTATAAATGATGTATCAGTAGATATACCTTATCACATTCACACACTGCTATAAATGATGTATCAATAGATTATACCTTATCACATTCATATGTGTAACTTTGTGAGAAGTTTTTAATTTCTAAAATTCAGTTAACAAGTATTTCTTGAGTGTTTCTTGTATACCTGCTATGAGAGATAGTAGGCAGTATAGGTTGGTAGTTAGGAACCAGATTGCTTAGGTTCAGTTCATGGCTGTGCCATTGACCTACTCTGTGACCCTGGGTCAGTTACAAGTTAACTTCTCTCAGCCTGTTTTTTTTTTTTTTTTTCCTCCTGTTTACTAGAGATGCCAGTAGTGCCTGTGTTGTAAGGTTGTTGTAAGGGTTAACTAATTTGTACCTCTAAAGCATTTAAAACAATATGTGGTACTGCTGGATCCTGTTTTAGGTATTGGATACAATAATGAGTTTTTGATGGACCACGCATTCTGTTGAGGGGTGGGTGGTAGACAGCAATTAATGATTTGAAGATATACAAAGGATAATAGGCAAGTGATACAGAGAAGAGGACCCATTCATGAACTGGAATGATCTGTGTTGTATTCTTGAGGCAGTATTTTAATATGGGCTTAAAGATAAGAAGTCTGCTCTTCTGGCATTTGAAAGCAAAGCATTCCTGACACAGGGAATAGTGTAAAAACTCTGGAATGGGGGCAAGTATGGCTTTCTGAGGAGCAGCAGCTCAACCAGTGTGACAGGAAGGTAAGCAAGAGGCAGAGTTGAAACTGGAGAGATATTTCAGAGATGGAACACATAGGCCCTTTTAAGCATGGTCAGATGTTTGAATGTTGAGTAAAGTAAATCCACTGAAGTTCTAAATTGGGGCATGATGTCTGAATTTGAAAATATTTGGGCTGTTATATGTAGAATAAAGGGGAAAAACAGTAATGGGAATAGGAGACTAGTTAGGAAGTCTGTGAAGTACTTTGGGTGAAATATGATAGTGGTTTGACTTAATGTACTGATTGAGTAGTTATAAGTGTTTGGATTTAGTATCTCTCTTTTTTTTTTTTCACAAGCAGAGTTAGACAGTGAGAGAGACAGAGAGAAAGGTCTTCCTTCTGTTGGTTCACCCCACAAATGGCCGCTACGGCCGGCGTGCTGCACCGATCCGGTGGTGCCAGGAGCCAGGTACTTCCTCCTGGTCTCCCATGCGGGTGCAGGGCCCAAGCACTTGGGCCATCCTCCACTGCCTTCCCGGGCCACAGCAGAGAGCTGGACTGGAAGAGGAGCCACCGGTACTAGAACCCGGGGTGCCAGCGCTGCTGGCGGAGGATTAGCCTAGTGAGCCGCGGCACCAGCCTTAATATCTCTTTTAAAGTTACAGCTAACAGGACCCACAGTTGGACAAAGTAAAGGAATGAATTAAGCAGGAAGATTATAAATTTTAGGCCCAACTGAGTAAGTGGTGGTACCAGAAATTGAGACTTGAGAAGACTAAGTTAAGCAGGGGAAGTTGAATTATTTTGTGCTTCTTAAGTTTGTGATACCAAAGAGATGTTAGAATAGAGTAAACATTTTTAGCAGGTATGTAATATCTAGAGGTCAGAAGAAAGATCAGTGTAGATCACATCTGGAGGTCAGAGAAAATATCAAGTAAGTTTGTATCATCACTGTATGGTAAATTTCATGAGACTGAATGGTTTATCAAGGGAGAATGTATATATAGAAAAGGTACATGAGACAGAATTGCTAAAATTAGATTCATCAGTATAAATGTGGTAGTAATAAAACAATACCTGAAAATAAAACAACCATGAGTAATCTTGTATACATAAGACAAAGCAAATAGTGAATTTTAATTCCAGATTATTTTGAAAATCTAAGTAAAGTGTTGGATGAAATAGATATATTTGGTTTGTAAAAACCTTCAGTAACTCAGTCCTATTTATAATCAAATGTTACGTTATGGAATGTGACTATTTAGTAGCTATACCTGCTCTTACAAGTTTGCTTTTTCCCCCAGTACAAGTAAGAATTTTACCATTATGTCAGCTGAATCTGTGGAGATTGATGATGCGTTATATAGGTAAGAACCTTATGGAAACTGAAACTTATTTCCCCCATTCATTGTTATCAGATCATTTGAGTATTCTATCTAAAAATACCATTAGGTCCAGGTATTATTCTGTATAAATGCTCTAAGGGTTTAAGGTTTCTGGTATTGTTGTTTTTTTGGCTTTTCTTACTCTGTCGTCTGACAACTTAAATAATTAAATTTCAGCAGCTTTAGGATTAAATAGTAGTACTAAGAATTTTGCTAACTACTACAAAATACACTTGCTGGATTTTGAACCAGAATACTTATTTTGCTCTTGGTATTGCAGGAAGCTCATAAAAAATAATCCATTTCACTCTGCTTATTCAGTAGTATCTAACAGTTTGATTACTTAAGTTTAATCTCATTAAGACATTATATATTTGTAATTTATAATAAAGGACTGTGTGATCAATGCGTTGTGGTAGGAATGGAATTTGGTGGGATTTTTTTTTTCCAAAGATTTATTTATTTGAAAGAGTTACAGAGAGAGGCAGAGAGACAAAGAGAAAGATCTTCATCCACTGATTCACTCCCCAGATGGCTGCAGCAGCCAGTGCTGGGCCAGACCAAAGCCAGGATCCAGGACATTCTTAGTCTCCTACATTGGTGACCGGGGCCCAATTGCATGAGCCATTTTCTGCTACTTTTCTCAGGCCAACAGCAGGGAGCTGGATTGGAAGCCGAGCAGCCAGGACTCAAACCGGTTACCCATACAGGATGCCAGCATCACAGGTGGTGGCTGTACCCACTACACCAGCAGTGGCCCTTGATAGGTTTTTTTAACCATACTTTTTCATAAAGTTGAAACACTTTTCAGTAATTAAAGAAAAATTTAAAACATATACATTGTTACCATGCCTAAGAATTTTTTGAGTAGTTGTTTGTGTGAAAGATAGAATAGTCTAAGATAAAAAGTCATTAGAGGGGTGAGTGTTTGACACAGTGGTTAAGAAACCATTGGGACAACTGCATCCCATGTAAGAGTACCTGGGATTGAGTCCCAGCTCCACTACCAATTCTAGCTTCCTGCTAAGGGCACCTTGGGAGACAGCAGGTGATGGCTCAAATACTTGGATCCCTGTCACCTGATTGAATTCTGGACTTAGGTGCTGGCTGCTTTTGGCATTTGGAGAGTGAACCAGTAGATGGAACATCTCTATCTCTTTCTCTCTATCACTTTCAAATAAAAAGAAATAAACATTTCTACATTAAAAAAAAATTACTAGGTTCTTTTCTATGTAGTTATGGACAATACATTTTATGTAGGTAGAATTTGAAGATAGGTTCTTATGTATTTTAAATTAGAGATGTACTTTATTATATCACCTGATATTGATTCCAGATCTTTTAGTGGTACACATTTGGTGAAAGATAGACCTAGCACTTTATCTTGCTTATGTAAAAATTATTTTACAAATGGTCTCCTGATTATAAAATATACTTCAGATGTCACCTTACATTTGAACTCTGTATTTTTGACTCTATATTTGTGTCCTCTTGGTTATATTCTTAGAATAACAAATGGAATCTCCTTGAGATAGTGGCTAATTTTATTCATTTTTTTTGTATGTGTGGCTCTTCATTCAACCCTGTGATACTTTTATATAGGCATAATTTTCAGTAGACTAGTGACTGTTTTCCAGTTACAGTCCTGTTAGTAGACTGTTGTGTGCTTGACTGAAAAGAACAAAATGCAAACAAAATGTTACATGTCAAAATTAACATTTTTCATGATAGGTAAGGAAATTTATTATTAGTGACCAAATTTGTAGATTTGGGAGGCTTGTGGGGGGGGGGTTGTTTTTTTGTTTTAATTTTAAATATGTCTACTGCTTAGTTGTCATAGAATTAGACACATGACTTTGAACAGTGATTTATCTTTGGGACAAGACTAAGAGTGAGGATACTTAACCTCTTACCAGCCTGGAGAAGTAATATTCAGGGGTAAGTTAAATAAAGATTGAGTAAGATAAAGATAAATTCCAGAACTTCTCTTTTTCTCTCCATTCTTTCACACAGCATAGTTCAAACCATTTTCTCTCACAATGCAAATTTTACAGCTTATGGAGTCATTTAGAACATATTCCTGGCCAGCGCCATGGCTCACTAGGCTAATCCTCCGCCTGTGGTGCCGGCACCCTGGGTTCTAGTACCGGTCGGGGTGCCAGATTCTGTACCAGTTGCTCCTCTTCCAGTCCAGCTCTCTGCTGTGGCCCGGGAAGGCAGTGGAGGATGGCCCAAGTGCTCGGGCCCTGCACCCGCATGGGAGACCAGGAGGAAGCACCTAGCTCTTGGCTTCAGATCGGTACAGCACGCCGGCTGTAGCAGCCATTTGGGAGTTGAACCAACAGAAAAAATGAAGACCTTTCTCTCTGTCTCTCTCACTAACTCTGCCTGTCAAAATTGCCTTTTAAAAAATTATTGTCATAAAATCACATAACACATTTTTAAGTTACTAAAATATTAACATTAACACATTCACAGTAGTGGTAATGCTATGCATGTTCTTGTACTGTGGATCTGTAGAACTTTCTTGTCTTTTATGACTAAGACTGCCCATTGCACAGCAAGTCCCCATTTCTCCTCCCCCTAACCTCTAGCAACCACCATTCTACTTTCTGCTGCCATGAGTTTCACACTTTAAATCCCTCCTGCAAGTGAAACTGCAGAGTTTGTCCTTCTGTGATTGGCATATGTTACTTAGCACAGTGTTCTCAAAGTTCATCCAGGTTGTACCATATGACAGGATTTCCTTCCTTGTTTTAAGACTGATTAATATTCCATTGTTTATTTATACCACATTTATTCATCAATGGACATCTAGATTGTTTTCACATTTTGGCTATGTCAAAAAAAATGCTTCAGTGAACATGGAAGTACAGATATCACACAGGCCTTGTAGTGCAGCAGGCTTAGCTGCTGCTTACAATGCCCACATTATCATATCCAGTACCAATTCAAGTCCCAGCTACTCTGCTTCTGATCCAGCTCCCTGCTAATCTGCCTAGAAAGCAGCAGATGATGGCTCAAGTATTGGAGTCCCTGCCCCCTATATGGGAAACCTGGATGGAGTTCTTGGCTCTGTCTTTGCCCATCCTTGGCTGTTAGAGCCATCTGGGCAGTGAGCCAGAGATGGAAGATCTCCCTCACCTCTCCCTCTGTCACTCTACTTTTCAACTAAATAAATCTTTAAAAAAAAAAAAAAGACACCCCAGTATCCAAGTGCCTGGGTACAATACCTGGCTCTAGTTCCTGACTCTAAGTGCCTCCTAATGCAAACTCTGAGAGACAGCAGTAATGACTCGAGTAATTGAGCTCCCACCATCCACATGGAAGATTGAATTGCCTTCCCAGACCCTGGTTTTAGTGTCAGCTAGCTCTAACTGCAGCAGGCATTTAGGGAATGAACTAGCAAATGGGAGTGCTAGTTCTCTCTTGCGCTCTCTCTTTATCTGTGTCTTTCTGCCTTTCAAAAACCTAATAGACCCTGTTTCCGGTTCTTTTGGATAAATACCCAGAAATCTAATAGCTGCATCATACAGTAATTCTATTTTTAATTTCTTTTTACTTTTTCAGTAATTTCCATGCTGTTTTGTATAATGATTGTACCAATTTACGTACCCACCAACAATATAAGGGTTCCCTTTTCTCTGTACCTTTGCCAACATTTGTTATCTCTTGCCTTTTTTTAAACATTATATAATACTTTTTTTAAAACTATGTATTTTATTTGAAAAGAAGATAGATGAGACCTACCATCCACTGATTGACTCCTCAAATGCCTGCAGTAAAAAGGACTGGGCTGGGCCTGAAGTTGGAAGTCAAAAACTCCACCCAGGTCTCCCACATGCATGGCAGGGACCCAACCATTTGAGCCATCACTTTCTGCCTCCCAAAGTGCAAATTAGCAGGAAGCTGGAATGAGCAAGGCCCAGGATTCTGATATGTGATGAGGGTATCCCAAGTGGTGTTTTAACCAGTAGGTCAAATACCCTCCCTTGTAAGTTGTCTTTTTGATAATAAACATCTTAATGTGTGTGTGGTGTGAGGTAATGCCTCCTTGTTTGTCACTCCCCCATTCGCAGAGGAACGACACCGGACCCTGCGCTGTTCTCTCTGCCCGGCCCTTCCCAGGTTAGCTGCTGTTCCCTCACTCGCAGAGGAACCACGTCGTCCTGGGTTAGCTATCCCACCCCCCCCACCCCCCACCCCTGCCTCCGCGGAGGGGCGCCACCCCACACCGCTATCTCCCCTTCCGCGGAGGAGCAGCACACCACCGGCTCTCAGGGGTTCCTCAGATGTTTCCCTCAGATGTTCCTCGTGCACGTTGTCTCTCTCCTCCTTTATAGTCCTCTTCCACCAATCCATGCTCTGCTGCCCACACGCTGAGCACGCTGCTCTCCTCCAATCAGGAGCAGGATCAGCTCCTGGAGCTCATCAGTCAAACTGGTGAGGCAGCTGCGTGGAAGTTGTTTGCTCCCTCTCAGCGCCATATTGTGGGAGAGCAGATACATAGAGTAAGTCTTAATTCCAGTAACTTAGTCTAGTCTCAGTTGCTCCCCACACTTGTTTTAAAATGCAATTCTGTAATGATCCGTGTTGTTGAACACTTTCTAATAGGCCTATTGGCCATTTGTATCTAGAGAAATGAATATTCAAGCCCTTTGCCGATTTTTTTACTCAGTTATTTAGAGGATGTTTTGATGTTGATTTGTAGGTGTTCCTTTGAGGATTAACTCCTTATCACATATATGTTTTACAATTACCTTCTCCCTTTCTGTAGTTTGCCTTTTTACTCTGTTGATTACTTCTGTTACAGTCCCAGTTGTCAATTTTTGCTTCTGTTGCCTGTGCTTCAGTGCCATATCCAGGAAATCCTTGCCAATACCAGTGTGGGGAAATTCCCCTGGTTTTTGCCAGGAGTTTTATAGTTTCAAGCCATACATCTAAGTCTTTGAACCATTTTGAGTTGATTATTCTGTGTGATG